GTGATATTCCTGGAATATTGCAAAAAGTGGCGTAAAACCATACTCACACACTCTCTCGATCTGTGCCTGAGTAAGTTGTTTTTCTTGAAACATTTCACTATTTGTAATAGTTCTGATGAAGGTCCGTGAGTTCATGGGATTTCTTGGTGAAACACTTGTCTGTGGCAAATCATTTGAATCACACATTCCTCTTATGGTGTTAGTTGTTGAATTTCAGTTTTAACGGAACTCGTAAAATTTGTTACAAAGTTTGTCTTAATAATGAAAGGGAGATCCGTGACCTGAATAGTCTACCACACTTATAGTTGATAGATCAGTAAGTAAGGGAAGTAACTGCTCAAGTGGCAAAACTATAGTGAACCATAAAAATAGGACTACTGAACGAATAGTGCATTTAATCGAGTATTTCTCTTTCTTCTAAATGTGTCTGTTTCGATATCACATTCTGAATCACTTTTTGTCTATTTGTAATTGACTTCTTTGATTGGCATTCTAGAAGTTGAGGAGATGAAGAATGAGGACAACTTTATGGATATACGACTTCTTTATTGCGTGTAGGTGACGTTTCGACATAGAATCTAATGTGTTTTTCAAGCAAGTGGTTGACACCGTCATTAGAATCTATGTCGAAACGTCGCCTATACAGAAAAGAAGTTATATATCCATAACATAGTCCTGATTCTTTATTTGTAAGTGCTTTCTGAAAGTCTATTGGATTTATATGTAATTGAAATACAGTTTCGTGGATAACTCAATATAATGTACATGCAATTCAACTTTTTAAGTAATTGTTTCATAACATGTCACATTTGTTCTACTGGGCTATTTTTATTTAATTTTGGATTTTTAAAAGCCCTGAAAAGCATGACATTTGTTTGAATATTTACTGCAGTTTTTCGAAAGGTCTACAGGATAATTTCTATATTATTATACATTTTCTTTCTTATAGCTATAGTTTTGGTCTGCTGATCTTTAACCTTACGATATGGCGATTCTTGTCCAGTTCTGTGATATGTAGATCCCGTAAGGTATGACATTTGGTAGAGTGTTTACCGCGATAATGGCGGGACAACTTAGGAATGGCCAGCCAGTCCTAACTTGACACCCAGAAGGAAGCATGCTACAAAAACATTTTTTTATATCATTGGAAAGATCTCAAGGAGATGAATCAAAAATATAATGTGCAAGTGTGTTCATGTTTTCATAAGCTCACAAATTGGCTCTGAAAATGCATTTCTGCAGAAATTTCTGGCAGAATTTTTTTTTTTTCCTGCAGAAATTTCTGGCAGAATTTTTTTTTCTGCAGAAATTTCTGGCAGAAAAGATTTATAATATGGTATATGTGCCTCTGTTGCTTCTATAAGTGCCCTAACTGGACAGAGGAGCACTGAATTGTATATGGCAGATGCATAATCCTTGAAACCATATTAAGCAGAGCCTTCATTATTTGTACACCTGCACACATTAAAATTGTCTAAATGAATTGCTCTTTGTCAGATTTTACTTTGAAATTATCTAATTTGCAGTGTGCAAGTAAATGTGACTTTAAAAAATGTAACAGCCTTTTAATGAGGCCAGCCAAATATAAGAATACTTGGTGAAATCCAACAATTCAATCAAGATGAGATATACTATCATAGAAAGCAGATTTAACATCAGACAGTGGGAAAATAACACAAACAAGGTCATATAACATAACTGCATGTATTGTTTCATAAATGCCATAGACCACATTACAGTTACACATGCTGTACATATAAAAATATATATATATATTCCAAACACAAAAACATACACTTTGGTTATTTGCTTTTCTTTATGGCAGTCTGGTTGTAACAAAAGAACAAAAATTTAAAACTTTGACAAACTATAACAAGAATAACATGTAAATAATGAAACTTATATATCGTAGGTGAGGGACATACATAAAAACTACAAAGATTTCTTGTGCAGATGTCGGTATTATTGTGACATCTTCCAAATACGTTTCAACCAACGCAAATTTCTCAGTTATTTCATCATTATTTTCGATCTGAATATCCAAAGAAAAGATTATAGCAAATGTTTAATGTCATCAAAAGTAAAATGTATGAAAGTAGAATTGTATCATGTGACAAGCTTGACAATACTGTGTTACAAGAGAGACCTATGAGATGTTTATATCTTAACACTAAATAACTTTTTGTGATAATTAGTTTTTCAGAGTTGCATTCAAACCATTACATCAATCACATATTCAACTTATACCTCAATTATAACACAATTTTATCAATAAGTACATCAAAACACATGACAATTCCAAGAAAAGAAGGAATTTTCTAACCATGATAGGGGACCATTATGTTTTTTACATATTGTTACCTAGACAGGGATTTTTACAAGGAGAATAATCAATATCAGACTTAACAACAGTTCCAACAAGAACCATCAGAAGATGACAAATCCCCGGCCCCCACATATTTGAAAGAACAAATCATCTGGCAGTTACTTAAAGTCCAACTTGATTTTTTAGACTAAGTCCAAATCGCTTCCATGGAAATCATGAAAAATATAAATGCCAAAAATCTGCAAATAGCAAAAGGCACCACTTCAAGATCTGTTTGATATGTCTGCCAAGTCTTGTAGAAAGAAGATGAAATGTTTTCAAGTTGAAACCCACCCCTCCCTTATGAAACTAAGTCTGAATCGTTTCCTTGGAAACCAGGAAAATTAAAAATGCCAAAAATCTGCAAATGGCTAAAGGCACCACTTTGGGATATGTCTCATACATCTGCTAAGTTCTGCTGAAAGATATTGAAAGGTTTTCGACTTGTGACCTGGAAACGAAACCCACCCCCCTTTTTGAGACTAAAGTCCAAATCGTTTCCAAAATCTACTTCAATTTAACTTGTGCTTGACAGTGAGGCAAAAGCAAATTTAGCTTGTGATTATACAAAGAAAAATGTTCAGTGCATATATATACATCGCATATACATATTTACATCAGTGTTACAATCAGGCCACCATCTCAGAGTTCCGCTGAGGTTTGTCTTCTGTGCTTTGTAAGTGATACCTGAAAATGAAAATGAAAGGATAATAAGAATTGACATACAAAGACATGCGAAAAACAGTAAAAGCTTAAATCGGTATTCATCTTGATGTCTGGATGTTTTATACATTAAATGCTCTCTAACGCTGTATAACAGATGACAATATAATTTTTTATTAACAATTGGAACTCAATGAAAATACCTTTGATTGCTTCTGCATTTTTTCATTGCTTCGCTCTATTGCCTCTTGTACATTTATTGGGAGGGTGTTCTCTTCCCTTGGGGCAGGCATGATGGGATTGAAGTCGGACTGCTTGATGGCCGGTGTGTGAATGTCCCCCATCTTTTTAATGTAGGACACCCACCACAAGCCTTCCTCTTCAGACAGCCTGGTAGATGACACCCATTTGGCCAAGTCTCTCCCCATGGCTTTACATGTGTCATCTACCTTTTCCTTGTCCAGAGTGACAGGTGTGAGTGTTGACAGGTCAACCTTGAAATCTAATGACACCTTTCTGTAGGTTTCACTTTTCAGTGGCCAATCTTTATAAAGCATGGAGACTGAGGACCCCTCCATTCTGAACACAAACACATGTGCCTCCTTGTGTCCTTTAGGTGAATCACAGTTGACAAACAACTGCCTCATGTCTCAAACACCATCAAGTACAGTAGCAGTGGGCTTTGGGTCGTTACTGCTGGCAAAGACTTGCAGGAGAGCATCACGTGTTGCAGCAGGTTTCTGTCTCAGCTCCCTTGCAAACATGCTGAACAGCTGGTCCACATCTTCATGAGTGTGGCCCACCATGAGAAATGACAGTTTCACCTGGAAAAGAGTATCACTATTAAATTACACATTCAATTATTGGATTATTTGAATATCCTGAGATTCTAATAAAGAATGTTAAAGATCATCTTAATGACCTCTATTGCATGCATTCCCACAATGTATATGTAAATATGTTGCAAAAAGAACACATACCTTTTTGAAGATTTCCAATTTGACTAACAATGCCCAAAACTACAGTACAGTCTTGTTCTTGTTATCTTTTGGTGAATTGTCCGCTTGTAAATACAGCGTTTCTGGTAGATGCCCATGGTTCAGCTGAAATAGTAGTTTTTAGTAAATGAATTAAGTACTATTTCATAGCATTTGTGCAGGAACAAATTTGAAACAAATGTTTCGTGATAAATTAGGCAATGACTCATATTGAATATATATAGTAGTGTTACCTGTGGAATTCTACTGAGGACATACAGAAGCACTGTACAAGTTACATTTGCATCGCCTGGAATACATGTATTCCAGACAACAGCATGGGTTGTTCGGTTTCCATGATCGACAACACCTGTCACGTGGTGCTTGACATGTGCCAGGCTGCCATCAATCTGAAATGTTTGAAGATTATTGTATTTTAATTAATGCCTGTCAAAAACTAGTATCTTCACTATCAACAGTCATTACACACGATAAGTACATGAATTAGGACAAATTCATTATATTCAGCTTTTGAAATATGAGTGTCAACTGTTCAATGGTTCAAGGAGCCTGCGATTCAATATGTAATCATCACACATGTGTACCTTTGATTGTTCTGGAAATACAGGAAGGTTTGTCTTGTTTTGGTCCATGTTGTCAATGATGAGGGACACATACTTAGATGGTGACCTCTTTGCCTTGTCCCCATGTTTGTAATATTTCTCGTGAAGTAGCCTGCAAACACAAAACATTTAAAATATCTCGAAGTAGCACTACAAACATACAACACATTTACAACATACATACATACATACATACATACATACATACATACATACATACATACATTGAACCTGTAAACAACCACAAAGCAGTGAGTGGCCCTTTTGTGAGTTGCTAATATTATTTCCTCATGTTTAATATCTCGTGATGCAAAATCCATTTCTCAAACTGCATTTTCATTAACTTCATTCATTATTACAGAAATAACAAACCTTTGCAAAGCTAAGTGTCCCTGTTTTGCTTCTTTCAAGGCCTTGACTTCTTCCTTTGCCAAGTTCTTTCTTTGTAGGGCATCTCTATACAAGATGCACAGAGAGCATTGTGTGAAATCCTTTGACTGGAACAAGAAGTAAACAATTTCAACATCATGATTTAGTATTTATTCATAACACATGTCAATGGCATCTTTCAAGCTGTGAGAACACTGTACGTTTTAGGTACTGAAAACTTAAAGGAGTATCACAGTAGTTTATATAATTGTAGTAACATGAAATATACAGTATAGATACATGTTGACAACTTAGTACTTGGTATACCCTACTTACCTTCAGTATTTTCACGGATGAGAAGAACTCTCTCCAGAGCTCCTTAAAACGGCTATACCCAATCACCGGCTTGCCCTGATCATTGTTGTCTTCCACATAGGCGTCAAAGATTTGCCTCTTTGTAAGGCAAGATGGCCGCTGGATTTAAGTCTTGTGCGGCATGTGGTCTCCATGTCTGTATTTTGTCTGTCTACATTGATCAGTGATTGCACACTGTGATTTCAAGGACAGAGACAAGCAGCGGATTACTCAAGACCCTTGGAAATGGATGGGGCAAAGGAAGAACAGGAGCTGTCTTAGACAGTTTGCACTGATGTGAAAACAAAGCTATCAACATAAGTATATTCAGACATTAGATGCTGTGTCATACAAAGAATAACCACAAAAATTAACAAAGATGATATTATGATGCTTTAGAAATGTACATGCAAACCAACCTTTTGAAATACTGATCCGGCCACACTTTTGCCTCCAGGTACTTCAGGGAATCATAGTTCTTATCAGATCTTTGATCAACCTTTTGTGGTAGACAGTCCTTCACAGCTCTCCCATGATGAAAAAATCTAAACATATATTTCATTATATATCACAACATTGTACTTAACAAAATCCCTACATACACAAATTACATGAAAAAAGATTCCGTAAACCCACTTCTGAAAGAAATTTACAAAATATCTGTCTTTTCTTCACCTTTACAAGATTACCTCAACAATTATGCCTAACTTACCTGGTTTTACTGATCTTGAATACAGTACACCAACAAACACTACAAACTTCATGGCCTTCAAGGGTGAAGAGAACATCTGACAGTCTTTGTTCCTGATATCTGAACACTGCTCTCAAATGACTGTTGATGAAGCGGCTCTGTTTGGTTTGGGTCTTCCTCCAAAACGACAATCTCAATTGGTGGATAACTTCAAAAGACAGTTTCTTCATGCACTTCAAGGATATTTTTATTTATTTACAAACATGTTTGTAGCCAGGTTGGTGGAACAGTTAGCAATAATGCAGTGTAAACACTGAAGATTTTAGGGATTATGCATTCCTCATAACACATTCACAGATGAATTTCTTATTTTATGTGCTTCATCCTCAAACAATAGAACAATTGAATAACCATTAGAGAGGATAAATTGTGCACTCTCTTGGACCAGATCTAAAGGGCCGTCTGTCAGAATATGGTTCCTCACGTGAAAATGGTGCCACTGAAATACAACATTAAACAGAAATTTATTGTTTGGTTTGTTTCGCCACGCTCCATAATATTCAAGCTATATGACACAGAACCAGAAATCTAGTGATTGAGCATTATATTCGGCTGTCAAGTAGGTCAGCAAACCTGACTACACAATCGCCTACTGACATGCATGGGTTGGTGAAGACCAATCTTAAACCAGTTCGTCATGGGTCAGTGCATTTGTAAACATTGCTATCACTTTACAGATTGAGTACAATCAGTGATGAAAATATTCCGTACATGATTTTGACACATGTCTATTGTGCAATAGCACTAAAAGTAATACCTTGGGTTGCAGTGTCAACAGCTGTCTGACTGAGAAATGGTGGTGTCTTTTCTGCTCCTAGAAATGAAATACATCATTATTTACTTGTAAAACTATATTCTCCCTCTGATACAAAACAAAAACATTCTCATAAACCCACAATGCCTCCAAACTTACCCAAGGCCAGAAATCAGATTTGCTCCACCTGTCCCTGCCAGTTAAAAATTAAAAATACCTGCAGAGCAGCAGTGTCACATTGACAACGTAAAGTTAATACTGACGTCTCTATTGAATTTAATGAACATACCCGTGGAAAGTAATCCTGACCCAAATCTTCAAATTTGACCAATCTTCTCATCACAGGTGTTTGGCCTCCTATGTAAAGATTGAAAGAATGATTAGAAAAAAAGTCATTTTGTCTGCTTATTCACAACCTTTGTATAAACCAACAATTTTAAATACATGGATCTAAGACTGATGCATGCTAACACATCAATATAAATAAAAAGCTCAATTAGACACACAACAAATGGCTGTGGTATGGGCCTTAAATGACAGACTGAAACAACTTTACAAAAAGGACCCTTATTGTTACAGACTGTTTGTCATATAGCTGGAATATATTGCTAAATACGGCGTTAAACAACAAATAAACAAAACAAACCTTTTCCTTTTGCATATATCTGCTAACTCGAAAATATGTTTCTTGTTAAAAATGTGAAAATGGCTTCTGTTATCAGGTGTACAGGAAATAAAGGGGTCCTGGAATCCCTACATGTTCATATAGAATACCACGGTGTGACGGATGCTAAGGCCCTCAAAATACGTACATAATATAAACAAACGGAGTTAAATAATCCGGTACATTCCAGGACAGACTGGGGCCAGAGTATACATCGTGCCTTATCGTAAATTGGATACATCGATGCTCCAGTGGCGTGGAGTGAGTAGAGCGAGTGAGATGTTTAGCAATAACAAATATTTAGAACTGTTTTGTACTCATGTGAAGAATCGAACCGGAGTCTTCGGCGTGACGAGTAAAACGCTTTAAACCACTGTTCTACCACGGCTCCGCGATATGTGTTGAAACTGATACAAAACTGTTGATCAATTTCTCCTATTTTCATTTTGTAATAAAGCACACTACATCATCGTTATCAGGTTCACAAACACATGAATATTGGCAGTGTGAAAACCATTTGTATTTTGTTAATAACATCACGCTGACAGCCTGTTTGTCAAAATTGATTAACACGTAACTCAACCAAGGCACGTGGAATTCGAGTAATAAATACCAGATAGATAATCAGATTCGAGTCTTGAGTGAGATCGTCTTGCGTGGACCAAGTATAACTTAGGGGTCAGGCATAGGTCGCATCCGTCAATCCTATCTAAACTCTGTCAAAAAAGAAACGCAACCCCTGTCCTCAGATATGAAAAATTCGTTTGAATGAAGTTATTGCTTCCAAACTAAATGTTATTCGAATGTATTGAAATGATACACGTAATGAATGAAGATTACCATCCAAACAACTGCATTTGTACGCATAAGTGTATTTTATTGCTTATTCCGTCACAACGCATGAAATGACCTCATGGTGACTTCTGCACAAAACCACATGCAAATCATGAAAATGGCAGTTAATGTAGGGTGTATAAAAGCCCATATGCTTCCGCATTATATTCATTCATTTGTCGCACACGAAAAGCTGTGTTAAAATGCCACGATTGAGGTGCTGCCGACCGAAATATCGCCATTGGTCGTGTTCAAGCCGGAGAAGGATTTTGAACCGTTGCACGGCACCAAATGTTCACAAAACAACGATATCCCGACTTTGGAGCCGCTACAACAACTTCAATTTGACCAACGATCGCCCGAGAAGTGGAAGGCCAAGAATCACGACCCCTTCAAGATCGGAACATATCGGGTCCATCACCTGCGTAATCGGCATGCCCTACCAAACGTGACTGCCACACAAATACCAGGTTTGAGGAGAGTGTCAGCTCAAACGATTAGGAACCGTCTGAAAGAAGCGGGTTTACGTGCCTGTAGACCAAAGTTGTTGGACCTGTACTACGCCCCCTACATCGACGCCGACGACTCAGGTGTTGCAACAACGTAAGGATACGGACTTTACAAAACTGGAGGCGAATCTGGTTTTCTGATGAATCACGTTTTCTTTTGCAACGTCACGACGGAAGACAGCGTCTGTATAGGGAGACGTCATAAACGTTTTGCGCTCCATCTGCGTCCGACAGGTGGACAGATTTGGCGGAGAAAGCGTCATGGTTTGGGGAACCATCTCATACAACCAGAAATCAGACTTGCGATCGTTCCAGGAACCTGACAGCCCAACGTTACATCGAATCCACGTGTTAGAGCTTCACCTTCTCCTGATTATTGACCAACAGACACAGATTTTTCTAACGGGACAACGCCCGGCCTCATACTGCACGCGCAACAATGAACTTCTGCAGAATTCCAACGTCAATGTCTTCTTGCCATGACCCTCTAAATCACCAGACCTCAACCCTATTGAACGCACCTGTGGGATACTCTGATCGACGCGTACGTCAACGTCAGCCGCCGCCACAGACGCTGCAACAGCTCGCCGTTGCACTGCAGGAGGAGTGGAGAGCCATTCCCAGGAAAGAATCCGGCGTCTTATCCGTTCTTGTCCAAGGAGATGCCGTGCAGTGATTGCAGCGCGTCGTGCTCATACGAGATACTGAGAAAGACGCCCCTGGTGACAAACTGGTGTCTGTGAGATGACTTTTGGAAATGACAATTTTAAACATGCCCATCTGGGTTGCAGTATTCTGCCAAATTTCAGACTTCTGTCTTAAATAATAAAATGCGTGTCGTCCTAAAAAACTTCAGATCAAAAATCTCTAAAATACAGGGGTTGCGTTTCTTTTTGACAGAGTTTATTTCAATGGCATGTCAATTTCAAAGGAAGACAGTTGACAGGCCACGTCGTTAATTATTGTTTAGGGATAATTTGTTTGTGGTTTGCATGTTGATATCAGAGTATGCACATTTCACCGCCAATCAACGATTTCACATTTCCTCAAGGGCATGTGATTTCACACTGGCGCCATAGTTGAAGCTACCAGAAACCGCTGCATCTCTTTGATATGTTGCTAAATGGTATAGAGTTTCGGAATTATCTTTAGTTTTCTTTACTTTTTAATGCAAGTAATTCATCATTGATGTGATTACTCGTTGAAACAGAATCTCAGAATATCACAAAATGTAACCAAGAATGTATGGTTTCATTTCAGTAGAAGTACGGACAACGCCCGGCCTCATACTGCACGTGCAACAATGAACTTTCTGCAGAATTCCAACGTCAATGTCTTGCCATGACCCTCTAAATCACCAGACCTCAACCCTATTGAACACCTGTGGGATACTCTGGATCGACGCGTACGTCAACGTCAGCCGCCGCCTACAGACGCTGCAACAGCTCGCCGTTGCACTGCAGGAGGAGTGAGAGCCATTCCCCAGGAAAGAATCCGGCGTCTTATCCGTTCTTGTCCAAGGAGATGCCGTGCAGTGATTGCAGCGCGTCGTGCTCATAC